GCTCTAGCAAAACTCTACTTGTGTTTCAATGAAAGACTGTTTAATATGCATGTGTCACTCTACCGAGGTTCAACTTTGACCTATAAGAGGACAGTGTATATTCCTTACAGAGACGCTAGGAGGTACCACAATTGATATCTATGTATGGGAAGAGGGTGGGATATGCCTGCATGAGCAACATAATGTAAACCAAGTTCAAAAAAAGAAGCGTTGTTTTTTTCCACAGGTGCAATCTTGACAAGAAGAAAAAACTCAGAAAGGTATTTTGCATTGGTAAATTCTGATGTCTTGGGAAGCTCTAGGACTGTTTATCATCCTTTCTTTATGTACTTCTGGTTATGCCTCCTTAAGGGTGTGGGATGAGGGATATGCATTTAAAATAGTCCAGGCACCATTTCTGATTCTTTGTTCCCGAGGATGATGATGGTGGTGGTGACCACAGCAGCGACAACAATGATACCACCATATTTCATTGATTTTTAAAATGTTTTCCCACATTTTCACATACCTAAGAATACTTGTACTCAGTACTTCCTTGCAGTCACTATCAGCCTGCAACAAAGTTAAATTTGTCCGCATAGGATTGGCCTTATTTCACATGATCACCTGCGGGCACTACCAACCTGAGACCATTTAAAATTATTTGCTGAGGTGTTTTTTTTTTTTTCCCCCCACACTGTCAGTATGAACTTGTATCAGAAACCTGCATGAGTATCTGCTTGTGGTTCAAGTTCTCAGGGAAGATTAGTTTTCCTCTTTCTCTTCTTGCTGTGCCTTTCTGAATGGAAGCTTTCTTTCTGGCATATTCTAGTGCTAAAAGGGAATCGCTGTTTGGTGTTTCAGCTTTTTGCAGAGGTCTCTTATTAGACTCCCCATCTTATTTTTCTTTCTTATTCTATTTAGAGTAAGTGTGACTAACAATTGATGGTCTCTTATAGCTGATGAACCACTGTAACAATAAAAGCTAACATTTACTTAGCACTTCCCTTTTGCCAGGCAGTGCTCTAAGGGCTTTTTATATGTGCTAACTCATTTAAACCTTCAATAATTATATTAGATAGGTACACTTATTTTCCCCAATTTTAGGTAAGAAAACATATACTGTGTGTCCAGGGTTGCACATATTGTCTCACTTAGTGTTACCGGTGGAGGGTGTCCAGGTTATGGGCGTTTTGAACAAAGAATTGCACAAAACACACAAACAAAGCAAGGAAAGAATGAAGTCACAAAAGCTGAGACTTATTGAAAATGAAAGTACACTCTGCAGGGTGGGAGTGGCCAGAGTGTAAGGGGCTCAAGGGCCTGGATGCAGAAGGTTCTCGGGTCTAAATACCCGCAGAGGTTTCCCATTGGCCACTTGGTGTTCACCTCATGTAAATGAAGTGGTGGTCTGCAACCACTCCGACTGGTTGCAGAAAGCAACCAATCAGAGGCTGGGTTACAAAGGTCACAGTCCTATGCAAGCTTTCTGCAACCAGTCAGAGGCTAAAGTGACGTTACAAAGTTGCACTTCTATGCAAACGAAGACTTGGCCCACAATCAGTCGGACTGGTTGCAGACAGCAATTAATCAAAGGCTGAAGTGAAGTTTCATAGGTCACACTTCTATGCAAGCATCTGATTGGTTGCAAAAAGCAATCAGAGATACTTTCCATTTTCCATCTGCCACCTAGAAAAGGTGCGGTTTTGCAAAGGGAGTAGTCTCTGGTCCTTTTGTTACCTAGCTGTGGAAAGTTAGGGTTTTTATTTCAATTTAGTCCTAGGAAGTCAGTGTGAAACGGCCTTAGGTTCCCTGCCTCCAGACCCTATTCTCTTGCCTTATTAGTGTAACTTGACCACCTGAGTCTACAGGTACACCCCTGGTGAGAATCCACTTTTAGCTTTGTGAAGTACTTGGCATAATGCCTGATACTTGCTGAGTACATGGTGAGCTGTTGCAAGTCCCTTCCACTAAAAATATAGGCTATTGTCCTTATCAGAAGAATAGGATACTCTTTTGTTATCTATTTCTCATTCCATGATATGGGATTCTAGCTCTAAGTGCTGTCAATCTCAGACAAGAGTTGATTATCTAAAAAATATGGATTCTTGTAAGCCTTTTCATTATGTGCCATATAAAAAATGTTGCTCCAAGCAGGTTTACTAGTTTATCACCATTCAGATTTACAAGTTCTATCAGGAACTTCAAAGCAATTTCCTAGTAAAAAGTCCAGTTTAACAAATGTTTAAATTTTTCTCACTTCTCTTTATATTTCACACCCTAACCCTCTCCGTCTTCTTCCCACCACATTCACCTCAAATCTACACAGAAATCTTAAAGTGAGATGAATTAAGAAAAAAAAGAAAAAAAATTGCCTTTTTTCTTTTATGGGAAAACATTTTTATAATAATCTGAATCTGAAACTTTTGAAATAATTTAGGACTTATATTTAGAAAAAAAATCATTTAATGCCTCTATTCTTCCTTTTTTCTCTCTTTCATTCTTTCATGTCTTCCACAAATATTTACTGAATATTTTCTAAGTTAAAGACATTTTGCTTGATACTGCGTTATGAGAGATATTTCTCAGATTTTCTCCATGTCCTCAAGAAATTTTCAAAGAGAAAATTAAGGGGGAACCTTTCTCTCCCTCCCTCCCTTCCTTTCTCCCTCCACTCTCCTTCTTCCCTCTTTTCCCCATCTTCTTTCTCCATCCACCCCATCCCACCCCACCCTTATCCATGAACTAGAAGCCAAGGAGGAATAAAGGCTTTATGGGGGAAACACTCTTTGAGCTGAGTTATATTGGCACTTGCAGAGATGGAGGTGGTAGAATACAGCAAGGGGGCCAGGAGGTGCAGCATGAAAAAGGTCACAATAACTGGGTAGCAAAGGGGCTTTGGAGAAGGTTGAGAAGTCCAGCTTGAAACATGGAGGACAGGAAAGGGAGAGATGGGAGAGGAGACTTCCCTTCTTACTTCACTTTTTACAGAGAGATGCATGTGAGGTGTGAGGATAAATGCTATTTAATGTAAGGTCATGTAGATTCACAGAAAAATAAGAGGTTCTAGCTGATGTCATTATCATCATAGTCATTTTCATCATTGTCTGGCCTAATGACACCAGGACCACCAGAATTTACACTTATGCTCTGCTTCTGTGTCCTGAACACCTTGGAGGTAAGAATGGATTCTAAGAGACAAACTCATCTCATTTGGAGTGAAAAAACGACAAGCAGAGGTTCGCAGAAGCCACATACAACCAACGAAGCCTATAAAGTAGCTGAGAATTAAACAAAAGCACCTGTTCTGATTACCTTCATTGTTCCTGGTTAGTTAGCACCTCCCTTTCCTCAACAGAATGCCGAGGGCACAGGGGGTGTGATCTGAGTGAGGGCAAGAGGTGGATTGGAGAACACTCCTTCTCATAAGTAGTAGAATTTGATGGAAAAACAAGTAACTTAAGGGTAATAAAATGATGGAAAGTCCTGATGGGTCAAGTCCATATCTGGTCTTAAGAAGGGCAGCCTTAGGCAACATAGTGGGTACTAGAATAATTGATATCATTGAGAAAAGAGTAGTAATGTGAATTTCAAAGAAGATCACTTTGGGATAATGAACAACATGACAGAATCCAGGAGCCTCATGAAGAATATGTGATACGGTGAAAGAAATACGTTGAGAGGAGGCTTTGAGTAGGGCAGAAGGAGTGGAACTAGAGAGGCAAGAAGAGATGTAATTATGATTGTATCTCATACCAAGGGTCTGTACTTACACTGTAGAGTCTAAAGGGATCTAAATGTAGGATAGACAGGATCAGGTTTGATTTTGGAAAGCTCAGTCTGGAGGTGGTGTGGCCAATGTTTGGGAAGTAGTAAAGACTCTTTCAGGAAAGACAATACCAAGAGCAAGCATGGACTACTTCATCAGGTATCACTAGCAGATATAAATTATCAGTATAAAAACCAGCAATTATTACTTTCAGATTGGCGTGTTTTCTCTTAGTTAGGAGAATATAGTCCAGATAGAGTGTAAATGCATGAATAATCATCATAGTCTTAACAGAGCATAAAGTTTAATAAGTGTTATCAGTTAGAGAATTCTTTATAAAATCTCAATTTTCCAGACAAAGAAATAGAAGCATAGTGAGGTGAAGTGGCTTGCCCAAAGTCATAGATCAAGAAAATGGTAAAGATGACTTGAATTCTGATATTCTGCCTCTAGAGCCCATGTTTTAGTGTATGAATTAACTAAGTTGTTAATTGTTATTCATACCAATGGGAACATTCTCATATAACTGGTTCAGAAATTTTAAAAACTGGTACCAGCCTTAGGAAGATTTTGTAATGCAGTTTGTCAATAAACAAAATACCTAATTCATATGGAAAATTAAGAGGCTGATGTGAAGCATGATAATTACATTTACTTTGAAATCAGCAATTTGTGGACAAATGTAATTCATTTTGCCCAACTCTGGCTTTATTCCCAGTATTAAAAAGACAACTACAGGGTACACTTGGTTAGCACTCAGGGAAAATAAAGCAATTATTTTTCCACTTCTGCTAGAGAACACTAGGTACCCTTTGTCAGTCAATTGTATAGACTCTTATTGTAGGCAGTTTGTATGAACCAACCTGATGGAATGGGTATGTCTTCCTCTTTCAGCTCCACAATCCAATGACCCTTTTATTCAACAAAGATGCAACTAAACAACAAAATGTTGGTAGTTTAAAAAAAGTGTAAAAGTGATAGGATGCCTTCAACATGGTAATCCACTTTAAGAATTTAGAGCACATATCAGTATGTCACCTTCAGACATGGTTATAGTCCAGTAAGAATTACAAATCCAACAAACAAAAATCAAGGCAATAGAGTTTTCATGGGTATCACTGTAATAAATTCTTCTGTGCAAAAAGCCAGTCGTAGAGAAAAATTATAAGTACCAACATTTCCTGAGGAACCTTTTTCCAAAGAAGTTTTTAAATTTTTTTTAAATTTTTTTAATTTTTATTTTTGGCTGCAGACATTATCGAGAATTTGAAGTTAACATGAGCATTATGAATGTATCAGATGACATAGTAAGAGGTTACATTGAACTTTCTAACACCTATTCTTAAATTATAGTAAAAAAAAGAAAAAAAAACCTCAATGAGTTTTTAACATGTCTTCACATTTTCTCATTTTATTCAGGGAGTAGATTTAGGTTTTTCCTGGCCTGACTGGATTTTTAAACTGCTACAACATAACATAGAAATAATCGTGGCTATATTCACTGAGTTTGTTTCATTTTGTAAAATCATGAAAAACAAGTTTATCTCATTCGGTCTCTTTAGCATATTGATTCAGTATATCTCCCTTTATAGAGAAGAAAGAAAGCAACGATTTTCACAAGGTAGAACTGAAGACAGATATCGAGTACATAGAATGAAAAGCTCAGAAAGCAAAGTCTCTCAGTGTGGCTGGACAGATAGACACGTATAAATTTAATCCAAAGGGTTAGTTCTGATTATGAGAACATGGGAGCCTCTGGCTTTCTTTACTTACCCATACCCCTAACAAATTAGTGGGGTTTTTCCTAGAGTTCACTATAGTTTAACAAGAAGGATACACCCAGATTTTGGATTCAATGATGAAATAAAATGAATGAAGGTTTTATTTATATACTCTGTGCTTTGCTACTTCATCTTTGTGCAAATGGAAATAAGCTTTATTGCATTCAGAGAGAATTAGATTTGGAACTTGGTCAGTGGTGTAAAATAGAACTATAACATATTGATGACACAACTTTTTATATGGGAGAAGAATTAGCATTTAATAAAATCACAAAGAAGCAATGGGTAGGGACTCATCAATGTGTGAAGTGACTGAACACTGATACACATAATACAGTTGACATTGTCCTTAATATTTATTTTTGAATAAATGACAGCATGTGAACAAAAGCATATGCCTTTTCACACTAGTGACTACTTGGTCATTAAACAATATTATTTAAATAAAAAACGCAACTTTATACCATTGGTTATAATTTAGGAAAAAGAAAACAAACAAACAAAAAATCTGGCGATAGACTGGATTAAAAGTTAAAGATTTTATTTTGTGGTTAAAGACTACTTCTACAGTAGAAAGAATAAAAACATATACATATTAATGTAGATTGCAAATTTGCTAGTTCCAGATCTTTGCACTTGTGGTCTCTCCCAAAATAATGGATTCTCTGTGGATTTTATTTTGGAATAGGTATTTCTGTTATGAAGTCTGATAAATGATATTCCCACTCTAAAGAGCAAGCAACTAGAATGCCACATTTTTGATGCATATTTTTGCAGCACAGAGGGGATTAAATTCTAAATGTCTCAGCTGTTAAAGGCCCCTTCAGACTTGCACAAAATGAAGAACAAAGAAGGAGAAAGCTTTCCCTAAAGCAATTCATCAGATCTATTTGGGCACAGTGACATTTTCTCAGAACTTGTATGGATAAGTTATGCTGAACAGTTCAAGGGTTTGCAGCTGCTTGGAATATTTAAGAAAAAAAAAATCTCTAGTTCTTATGCATTTCATATGGTCTGACCAGTGCTCAACACTGGCTAATGTTCACTGAGGCTGTGACAATCAGTAGTTACATCATAATAGCTTGTTTCTCGAGTGCTCATTATGTGCCTGGAACTGTGTTCTGCATTTTCCACCCATTGTATCACTTAATATTTATGCTTCTGATCTTAGGGGAATGACTGTTTATATTGCATATATGCCATTTTTTTGCAGTATGTAAAATTTGTTGAGCTGAGTGTTATACATTATAAACTGACATGTACTTAGTGTTGTTTAATCTAATTGGTGGTTGTTGAATCTAAAAGATGTTCTGACTACTTCAATATAGGCAGCAGCAATCACTTCCATAAATAAATCATTAGATGTAGAAGACATGTGTAAACAGGTAGAGTCTTCTAATTTGCTAAGTGTTGATGGACTCAAAACAGTTACTAGAACAAGCCATAGATGGAATACATTTATTGATGGAATAAGTCAAACAACTTGAAACAAGGCATTGTGGTGTGTTAAATGGTAATTCAGATAAAATGAAGTGATTGATACATTTTTACTTGTTTGGAAAGTGGAGAATATTTTAGAATTACGAAACATTGCACTTTCATATACATTTATCCTTTCATTATCCCAATGTAGGGTAGATAGGACAGTTGATTGCATCCAACTTCATTTATTTGGCTTATTATCTTTTGTTTCATTATTTTAACTCTGTCTAGCATCATCTCCTACAACTTAGAGTCTATGTATTCTTCTGACCAAATGACTTGTAGGTTCCTGACCAAATTAATGGCCTTTCAAACTGTTAATCCCTCTGCCTGGAATGCCCTTCACGTCTTCTTTTGGTGAGGCCCCTGCAGTTCTCAGGACTCTATTGGAATATCACCACCCCAGACAAACATTCCCTGAACTGTTCCTCCTATACCCACCCTTCCTCTGGCCTTCCATAGCACCCTGTGCATCCCCCATTAGCATCATTTGGCGCCTGGTATTATAGTGTTCTATTTACTGGCCAGCTGCACTAAGTTGTGACTCTTTGGAAGCATGGTGTGTCTTTTACGGTTTTATTTTGTTTTTTTCAGCACCTAGCCAATTCTACACAGAGTATGGACTCAATGAGCAATTGTGGCTTGAATATGTAAATTCTTTAGTACGTATTGCATGATATGCATGTAATACATGCATGGATATCATGCATATTAGTACTTTGTTCACTTCCCCACCTCCCACATCCCTACCACACACACACATTCTCATTGCATTCAGCGATGTGTAGGCTTCTGTCTCATCCATGGTTTTCATTGTAGTTGCTGAAGCTTGAGGTCACGATCTGGTGGAAGTGACTACTAGAAGAAGGCAAGTGTGCATTGTATTCTGTTGTACTTGTCATCTGGAGCACACAGTGTACTTGAAGGTATGCCTTTTCTAGTGGAATTTCAGAGTGGTTTCATACTAGCACTATGAGAACACTTTCATGCTATACAAGAAGAAGGGCAAAGAATCAAACCCAGGCAATGTAACAGAAATTGAGCTGGGGTCCTGAGCTGCAGAAGGAACCTCTGTCCACTGCAGAATACCACTCCCAGTGGTACACAGAGGAGTCGGTGTCTGGCTTCTGCTCTCTGGTTGCTCTCTTCACCCTCTCTGTGCTCATTACTTGGTTCCCTTTGATAGAACATGAGAGGCAGACATGGATTGCCAGAGAGCAGACTTTTACAACTGCTATTTCATCCTGTTTTGAAATTTCTCTCAAAATGGTTGATTTATTTTTCTCTATGTATGCATTATGTATGTGTTGCTGCACACAACAGTGGATTCATAAAGGCTGTCCACATCTTTGTCCCCAAACCCCAAGTCATGCAATGCAATGCAGCAACCGAGAGAACCAGAGAGCCGTGCTGGGCTCTGAATAAACAAAAGCACAAATCCCATCTGGGTCTCCTTCAAAGCAAGCTGCTATTTTGCAACAAGCTACCAAATGACGATTAAGAAAAAGGTTCTTACCTGTTTACTTAATGGGTGACTGGCCTCTTTGCTTTTATTTAGCCATCTGTTCTGGTCTATGTCCCTTTAAACTTGTAAGATCCATCACTTCATTAAACTGTTACCTTGACACATTGCAATGTTGTGGACATAATGATTCCACAGAGGAGCAAATTAAAACAGTTTTTCATGATTAGAAGGTTCAATGAGGTAAGGCTGTGGTAGTTAGTGGTGAGATAAGGGGTGTTGCGGAGGCAGAGCTCAAGGGACTTTCAGGTGATTGGAAAATAAGGCTGGTGAGACAGAAGGCTGGGGCTTTTCCAAATTATGGGAGGTGAGCAAGAAGCAAGACTGTCTTTGGGTATCACTGACTCCTGGGGGCTGATTCCACTGCCCATACAGAGGCTATGAACCTGGCCCTGGGAGGATACAGGAACTGCCTTCAGGTTTCTTGACTTCCTTGGGAGAGTCTGGGAAGAGCAAAAAGAACTAATTCCACCAGGTAGTGGTAAGCTGAAAATGCAAAAACAATAAACATTTTGGTCTTTGTCAGACAGTTATGTGACTTTCCTTAAGTTTTAAGAAGAATCAGGGGGCCTAGCCCAACTATATGAAAGAATATTTTATTGTGTCTTTACCCTGCACTTCATGGCTTCAGCTGTGCTCCTTCTTACTCTAGACTTGACCTTCCACCTGACTGCTTGACAGTCGCTGAAAACTACAAAGCCAAGGGCTTTATCTTTTTACTATCTTAAATCAGTTCCTGCTCTGACAACTCTGGTTTCTCCTGATATGACCCATAATATTGCAGTCACATGGACCCAAAATCTCAGGCATCTCTGAATTTTCCATCAGCCACTTCTGTCCCGTCAGTAGCCCACGTTCTGTTTCTCCCACCTAAATCAAGTTTCTCACGTCTTTATCCACCTTGTTAGTTCTTCTGCTTCTGTCCTAGTTTCCATCCTTCATTACGTCTCTCCTAGGCAATTGGGATAGCCTCCTAACTAGTCACTACCTACCTATAGTCTCTCCCTTCTCCAAAGCATCTTAAACACTGATGTTTGATTATAATTCATAACTTTCTTCTTCTTTTCTTTTTTTAAATTATATTTTCAGTTCTGGGATACATGTACAGAACGTGCAGGTTTGTTACATAGGTATACACATGCCATAGTGGTTTGCTGCACCCATCAACTCATCACTTACATTAGGCATTTCTCCTAATGCTGTACCTCCCCTAGCCCTCCAGCCCCCAACAGGCCCTGGTGTGTGATGTTCCCCTTCCTGTGTCCATGTGTTCTCGGTGTTCAACTCCCATTTATGAGTGAGAACATGTGTTTGGTTTTCCATTCCTGTGTTAGTTTGCTGAGAATGATGGTTTTCAGCTGCATCCATGTCCCTACAAAGGACATGAACTCTTCCTCTTTTATGGCTGCATAGTATTCCATGTTGTATATGTGCCACATGTTTTTTTTATCCAGTCTATCATTGATGGGCATTTGGGTTGGTTCCAAGTCTTCGCTATTGTGAATGGTGCTGCAATAAACATACGTGTGCATGTGTCTTTATAGTAGAATGATTTATAATCCTTTGATTGTATACCCAGTAATGCTGGGTATTTGGTATTGCTGGTTCAAATGGTATTTCTGGTTCTAGATTCTTGAGGAACCACCACACTGTCTTCCACAATGGTTGAACTAATTTACACTCCCACCAACAGTGTAAAAGCATTCCTATTTCTCCACGTCCTCTCCAGCATCTGTTGTTTCATGACTTTTTAATGATCGCCATTCTGACTGGCGTGAGATGGTATCTCATTGTAGTTGTGATTTCTACTTCTCTAATGACCAGTAATGATGAGCTTTTTTTCATACGTTTGTTGGCTTTGGCCAAAACAGAGATATAGACCAATGGAACAGAACAGAGGCCTCAGAAATAATGCCACACATCTACAACCATCTGATCTTTGACAAACCTGACAAAAACAAGCAATGGGGAAAGGATTCGCTATTTAACAAATAGTGTTGGGAAAACTGGCTACCCATATGCAGAAAACTGAAACTGGACCCCTTCCTTACTTACACCTTATACAAAAATTTACTCAACATGGATTGAAGACTTAAACGTAAGTCCTAAAACCATAAACACCCTAGAAGAAAACTAGGCAATACCATTCAGGACACAGGCATGGGCAAAGACTTCATGACTAAAACACCAAAAGCAATGGCAACAAAAGCCAAAATAGACAAATGGGATCTAATTAAACTAAAGAGCTTCTGCACAGAAAAGGAAACTATTATCAGAGTGAACAGGCAACCTACAGAATGGGAGAAAGTTTTTGCAATTTATCCATTGGATGAAGTGCTAATATCCAGAATCTACAAAGAACTTAAACAAATTTGCAAGAAAAAAAACAAATAGCCTCATCAAAAAGTGGGTGAACGATATGAACAGGCACTTCTCAGAGAAAGACATTTATGTGGCCAACTATCCCCTTTAACAAAACAAATAAGCAAACAAAAAAAATTTATTTTGGCTTTCCATCACCTAGCAAACTCAGTATAGATGTATTAGCTTGATATCTGAGGCAATTCAGCATGAAGTTATCATTTGTGTTTCTATCTTTTACTCCTTCTTTGTGCTCCAGTAGGACAAACTACTGTATGCCTATGAGTAACTCTATGTATTCTCGTCTCCTTGCTGTTTCCTCTATCTGGAAAGCTCTGTTCACACACGTCTATCAGTTAAAACACAGGCATTTTATCAAGCTCAATTTCAAAGACATCTTTGCTTTCTCCCGTGTCAATCAGAGGCAGTTGTTCCTGCTTTTTTTCCATGGCAGCATGTGTAGAGGAATGTTCTGCTCTTGGCATAATTATTCCCCCCTCTTGTTAGTTTTTTGAATCTTACTTTTGCACATCCTGTAGCACAGGCAGAGTTTCCTACTCATAGAGGGTGCTAGATACAGAAACAGAAGAATGAGTGATAATGATACTGTGTCTACGAGAATATGAACATCCATTCATTCATTTATTTATTCATTCATTTGTTTCACTCAAATGTTCTTTGAATGCCTGTAGTATGTAAGGTACCATATTAAGAGCCTGGGATACGGAGATCAAGAAGACACAGTACATTCCAGTTCTCTAAGAACTCACAAATCCATGTAGGAAAATCACATAAATAATTACACAGTGAAAAAGTACAGTAGAAATGTCTTTAAAGTATGGCAGTGATGGGACTTTACCTCTGTTAGAGTGGGTAGGTTGGGGGTCAAAGCATGGTGGTGAGGAGGGGATTGAGCAACTAGAAAAGATTTCCTGTAGTTGGAAATTTCTGATTTGAGTTTTGCAAACTGAATAGGAGTTTATAAGGAATATAGTGATATAAGGAAGGGTGAAGATGCAATGGAAAAGTTCAAGAAAGCAGCTCTGCTTTCTCTCAGCAGCCCAGCACACTAGGACAATTTGGTCACCAAATAATTATTTTCCATTTCCAGGTAAAATACGCTGAATGACAGAATTGTTCAACCCCTGTGAAAGAAAAAGAGAGAAATAAAGGAACCTCCTTCTGTGACTGCCTTTGGTTGAAAGTCATTCATTCTTCTTTTTGTTTTTTTTTAAATGTTTTGTAGAGAAAGTCTGTGATTGCTGTGAGCTTCATAGCAGCGTTCCTTTTCCTGCTGGTCGTGCGTCTTGTAAATGAAGTGAATTTCCCTTTGCTACTAAACTGCTTTGGACAACCTGGTACAAAGTGGATACCATTCTCCTACACATACAGGCGGCCCCTTCGAACTCACTATGGATACATAAATGTGAAGACACAAGAGGTAAGATCTCAGAGGGTTACCTAGCAGTTGGAGAGTATCCATGGTAACAGCTTTTCTTTAGGAACCAGAGGGCTTCCAACTCACTGAACTTACTCTCTCTGCCCCGGAGAGCTTGCTTGGGTCCCTTACAACATCTTCTGTTTTATTATTCTTAGATATTTACTGACAAATGTCTAAATCTGCCACCCCTCCTACATTAAATCTTCTGATTCACTGGTTTCATATGGAGGCAAGGAAGCAATTACTTGTTTTCCTGGTGGTTTGTGGCATAACGTACATATCTCTCCATTTAGAAACTCTGATCAGCAGTTACCAGCTGGAGAACTGGCTGGCTTGATTTCCTGTAGGTCAACCAGTTGGGGAGAGCTCTTTATAGAACTTCAAAAATGCATTTATACTCCTAAAACTCTGAAATCCTTAGACCTGGACCTAGAAAAGGCCAAGCTGATTTTAAAATTTGCAGTGGCTGCAGAGATAATGGGATTTAAAGAGTTTTCAAATTTAAAGGGGTTAAAATCATGTAAATCCTAAAATCACTGAACTTTTAAATCTTTGTAGCCAATTGGTAGTACAGGAGAGGATGGAGGTATATTGACAACTAGAAAGTGCACACTATGCTAGCACTTTTGCAAGCGAGCATTTGTCTCATAAAGTAAAATAAAAATTGAACCTCATAAAATATGTGACATGTATAGAAGTGCTTAATAAAATTGTTTTCACTATTCATTTCTATGGAGTTGGATGAATGCGAGTTTAATATTCATAGACACAAAGTCCAAGCCTGTTTGAAATTGTTGGTAACAAAGATACAAGCTACCAGTGTGTCTACATCACCAGAGAGAGTCTTGGATCAGATCCCATCGAAAGGTCATTTTGTAAAGATAGTAGAGGGTAGAGTCATGCATGGAATGCTACTCCTGTCCTGAGAGTTATTCTTAGCATTCTGGGAGGATGCTAAGCTTGGTCTACCCGCTTTTGTAGGCAATCTCATATCTGTGTCATTGCTTCTGGTTAATTTGATTCTTCGAAAATTGTTTCTGTATCTGCAGGATTTACAGACTTTTATTAGAATTTGATAGTTGAAAAAAGCACCATTAATAACACATACATTCTTAGGATCTTTGATGTTTATCCTTTAATTGGTTTTAAATTAATTTTTTAAAGTGCCTATTGCTTGAATTTGTTGAGTGTCCTAATAAATTGATTACCTATATAAAAATGTATCTCTTTGAGGAGAGTTTGTCTCACTCTCGTCTTTTGTTACTTTTATTTCTGGCTGTCATTTAGTGTTCTATAACCTACTGTATGGTGTTAATCAATTCACAAGTGCCTGTCACAGGCTGAAAATGAAACATGTGACTAAAATGTCTCACGAAGTATTCTCATATGGGAAATCCCGTCAAATATCAAAGACTCTTTCATTTGTTTAAATATTAATGAATTTGATTTTGGAGTGTGAAAGGAAAAACTGACCTATAGATGCAGTTATTTAATTAGTTCTATTAACTGGACTATCTTTGAAATTATTTTGATGTAATTTTTAATGCAGTGATTTTACAAAAGAATATTGAATATTATTTTGCTCTTGCAAAGGTTATTTCTTAGGAGAAAACATAGTTACTGGAAAGAATTTGGGCTTTGGAAGCATACAGGCCTGGTTTGAGAGTCAGTTCTAACACTTAACGAACTTAAGCAGTATATTTGCTTTTGGGTAACTTCCTTAACCTCAGAGCCTCAATTTCCTTATTTGCAAAATAAGGATAACAACGCTAGCCTAGCAAAATTATTTTGAGGATAAAATAGGTCAAAGTATATGAGGTTCCCAGCTTCAAATTGCTATTCAATGAATGAATTTCTTTTGCTTTCTCTGTATGTTCCAGTATGGCATGAAGTGTTCAGTATGAATAATATCAAATTATCAAAATCCAGAGGACCAGAATTTATATGTACATTTTAAAGATCCTGGACTTGGGGGAATAAACACATGTAGGGGTTCTCAATCTCATTAGTAATCATGGTTTTACAAATTAAAACCACAGTGAGAAAGAAATTTAAAAATCACAAGGAGATACTAATACACACAAAATGCCAGACTGTCAAAAAATTAAGAAGTCTGACAATACCAAGTGTTGGTGAGGATGTGGAACAACAGATACTATTGTATACGTGTAGTGGGAGTAAAAATTGTAATACCCACTTTGGAAAAAAACATCTCCACTGTTGTATTGAGCAAAGTTGAAGATTTACATACTGCATGCCCAAGCATTTCTAGCTGTGGATATCTACACTAGAGGTGCTCATGAACCCGTGCGCCGGAAGGCATGGACAGAACATGTAGCAGCATTTTTCCTAGTAGCCAGAACCTAGAATATACTTAAATATTGATGAGTAGGAGAATGAGTTAAAGTCGTGCTGTATACACTGGAATACCATACAGCAATGACGATGAAGAAACTGCAAATATATGTGACCACATGGAAGATAAAGCAAAGTACACAATATGATTCCATTTATGGGTCACAAGAAGAGACGAAACTAAATTATGTTGCTTAGGGACATATACAGCGGTAAACTAAAAAAAGGAAAAAAAAAAGCAAGGAAATTATTATCATGAAAGGGGGTCTAGCAGTTACCTCTGAGAGGAGTGGGCAGTTTGTGATCAGAATGGGTTTCTGGGGATTTAGCAATGTACTATTTCTTGATCCTGTCGGAGGTTACACAGATGTTTACGGTCCATTTATTAAGTATAAATTTATACTTTTTGGACTTGTATGTCTATTTTATTAAAAAATTAAAAATATATTCTGATCCCAGGAAGGATGTTTATTTACCATTTACCATGGGTAAGAAATCATATAAGGCAATTCACCTAATTCAGCAGCAGGAAATAACTAAAAAGAAGCAATGGGATATTAAGCTATCTAAAGCAAACTAGGAATATTTGAAATAAGCAATTTGATTTTATATAAAGACTAACAGACACATAGGCAACTTATTTCTCTAGTTCTGATCTATGCATGATAGACCCCATATTGCAACATGAATGTAGGTGCTGGGGCAGAAAATTTTGCATGAAAGTTGAAAATATTAGAACACTCAAAGAGAATGACAGATTTTCAAGTAGTTCTAGGCTAAATTGGGAAGAAATTAAAATTTTGTGACTTTTTACCACCTTTCTCATTGATTTCATCCTTTGTTCTGACAGTCCCACCCCTACCACCATGTCTGTGCCATGCTCTTACTCCCAAATGATTGTGCGTTTGTTCTCACCATAATGTCCTCAGGTGCAATCTGTTGCAGAAATGTTCCATTAAATAAGAGACACAGTTTGATAAAGCTTTCAAGAGCCAAAGTAATATAGCTGAAAAGATAGGTGGTGAGTTCAATGTTCTAGGGCAAATAGCTTAAATAGTGAACACAAAACCATGCTTCAGAGATTATCACACACTATGTCCCTATTCATTCTATTCTAATCCTGAGAAAGTCAATAGGTTTAGCTGAACTGAGTCAGGTGATCACCAAGCTGATCCACTTATTTCGAGATCTTGGGCCTTAAAGTTTTCTCAGAAGTTTCTTTCCCCTTACATGCATATGCTTTCTGGAAATTACTAAACTTCTTAGTATTTTTTTTAAATATGCAGGCATGCCAGCAGTGATTTCCAGACCTAGAGCATCTGCAAACAATGGCTGTTGATGATGGTTTTATTGACTGATGTTCCAGCTTGGCCAGAATTTGCTGTAACTAGACATAGATTTTATGAGCTAAAATGAGTACAAGAAAGAACGTCTCTTCACTACTGTCTAAAGAAAAGTGGAGCGGGAGGCAGCAGAATTAGGTCAAACATCTAGTGGACACTGTGGAGTGTAGGGTTGCTTAGGAGCAAAATCTGATTCTTTAGTTATCTTTTAAAAATAGATGACTCTGGTCCCTTTGGATTGGCACAACTGAAAATATAGGTGGTTTGTGAAGCTATGACAGCCTGTCCTGAAGGTCCCACATATAGTAAATTATACCCAGTTTAAGCTCTGCTTCATTTTATCAATTAATCTGTTTTGTTTTTTTTTTTTAAATCATCTGTTCCCAGGGGAAATACAAAAATTAAAAGTAAAAGGAACACAGGAGAGATGTGGTTTTGCTTACATGTCAAGTTGTTTATTTTTTTCCCTGATATAGACCCATAAAAAGGAACAAGTGAAAACTGTGATGACTATTATAAAGGAGTTAAATAGAAAGATCAAAATATTCCTCCCACTGTAATAATGATGATCTAAATATAACAGAGTTGGTGATTGGCTTTAACTCTTTACCCAGTCTCCCCTTCACTTTCAACCAGTGCAAACTAAGGTTCTTTTCTATGGGGGAGGGGAAGTCTTGAGAAGCGGGAAGGAAAACTGAGTGCCAACTAACTGGGTGAGTGCTGAAATTCTGAAAGTCTTCGCTGGTCACAGAGCCCCAAATTCCTCATCAACACATGTTTAAGCTGATAGCAACCATGATGTCAAACCAAAGCTTGGATCACAGTGATTTAGATTTTGCAACAGACCCTGCCCTCACCTCCCTGCTGTATCATTACTGTGTCTATAATGCAATCCTCCATTTTAAAAATGACAGTATGAAGATTCCAACTATAGCATTATGGCAGAATTACTGTATTATCAACTGACTTTGGATATGGTAAAAAGCATATGTCACCCATGTGTTTTTCCAGAAAAAAATTAGAAACATATTCATGCTTGACAATACCCTAAAACCCTATTTTCTCCTTGACATAAATACTATTTATTTTAAATTATTAATTGTAGCAGACAGAGAAAGTATAAAGGACTAAGGTAGTCTAGGGCTTGGTTCAAGGTAATCTTGCTTTCTCTTGTTGAGATCGTGGCAGATTTTTGGGAAAAAGGAGAAAATGAACTTCAGGCTAGGTTCTCTTTGTAGTTGCCTATCATGGACTCTGTCATTGTGTTGTCTTTTTTGTTGTATGACCTGGTGTGAAGACGTT